CGGGCTGGAGCGGCGCTGTGCGGCCGCAGGCGCAGGCCCAGGCGACGGCGGTGGCTCCGGTGACTCCGGCGCGGGCGACAGCTGGGACGCAGCATGCGCGGCCGGCGGGGAGGCGCCTGGCTGGCGCTGGTCGCGTCGCTCCTGCACGGTAAAGCGCTGCTCCCAGCTCCGCGCAACTGCGCTTCTGCGTTCCTCGCGGGGTCCCGGGCAGGTTGGGGTCCGCAGGCGGCGGGGTGCTGCCGGGGCAGGGGGCGCTGGTTGCCTGCACCCCGCCGGCCTTCCTTGAGCAGCCCGCCGGGCTCTCTTCCTCTGAAGTGTCCCTGCAAGGCGAGTTCCAGAGGAAGCTCTACAAGGAATTGGTCAAGAACTACAACCCCTTGGAGAGGCCCGTGGCCAACGACTCGCAGCCGCTCACCGTGTACTTCTCCCTCAGTCTCCTGCAGATCATGGACGTGGTGAGTCCGGCGTCCGCGGGCTGGGGCGGGTATCGCGTGGCCCTGACGCCCTCTTCACCCGGGACCAGCTGCTTGGGTCGACTGCTTGGGTCTCCCCCGGGGAGGAGGAGGCGCTGCGGGCCGAGATCCAGTTCTCGGCCACCTGTGTGTGGGTACTTGGGTCCTGCCTTCCCCTCAACTTAGGAACTCAGGGGAAAGTATCAAGAGTTGGGAATCAGTCTGGAGACCCGATACTGAGGGTCACATTTCTGTTGCCCTGGAGTGAGCGAGACTAATGCATGCAAGGCAGTTTAGCCACTTCTAGGCTTTTCTGCCGTTCCTGCGTGGCGTTCAGTTAGGTGTAGTTTCTCTGGGTAGAGGCCTGGCCCTGGCTTTCTGCCTGGTGTATCTTCCTGGGCAGAGGGCAGAGGGCAGAGGGCCAGCGCTGGGAGCTGAGACTGCCCACTCCCATCTGCATCCTGAACATTTGCCGCTTCCAGGTAAGGACAGATGCTGTCAGCCCTGCACCCAGGACTCAGGCCCCACGCCAGAGATGGACTTTTCTGTCCCTTTCGGCAGCTTCCGTAAACCCCAGCCTCCTGCCTTGCAGCTTTACCGGGGTCAGGCTGTGTAGTCTGGGTGTCAACTTGCCTTTTGCCCCCTGCAGAGGCTCCGAGTACTCCCTGCTCATTGGTGTGGCCTTCCTGTGGTGCCGGTTCTTCACAGAAGCGATTCTTTCATTGTACGAGGGTCTGGAGGTGCGGTCTGTACAATGTATGGGGTCTGCTCTGTTCTGGAGGCCAAGGGGGTGTGGTAGGGTGAGACAAAGGGATAGTGATGTTCGTGAGGAGGGCTTAATATGGCGGGAAATATGCGTGATTGCTGATTAGCAGCCGCTCCAGATAGAAGGCGCTAAGGACCACCTGAGGGGGTCAAGTGGAGAGGTGTAAACTGACAGGTGAGAGTTCATAATCCTGTAGCTGGCTCTCCTCACTACTATGCTGATGGGCATTATGCCATGTACCCCGGCTAAATGCTGTGATGGAGGCTTCCTTCCCCGTAGTACAACGTGTGGAGTGGACGCTGCTTCCTCCTGCAACAAAATCCTGCTTTAGGTACTGAATGCGTGTGTGAGGATAGGAAGAGTCACCATGAGATTAAATAGCCGCTGTCCTGCACTGCCCCGTGGTGTCAGTCAGCTGCTGTCTAGAGTGCGGGCTACGGGAAAGGAGAAAGGATGAAGACATTGAGTTGGAGGTAAGAAGCTGAAGGAGGAAGTTTGGGTTCTGTGTGAGGATGGCAGCCAGGATGAAGGAAGTGGAGGGGCTGTGAGGCTGTGGGAGGCGGCGGCGTAAAGGCTCCAGGGCACTCGCTGAGGACGACAGAAGAGCTCCTAGGTTTCTCTAAGGAGCTTAGGATTTGTACTTGGGATGTCGAGAGCCTCTGGCTTTGCCGGTACTTGGAGGGCTGATCTTAGGTAGGTTTCTTAAGCATTCAGAGCCTTGACCTCCTGCTAACAGAATGGGCACTGTAGGGCTTCTGGGTCATTGTGCTGAGATGAAAACCGAGAGAAACCTTAAGAAACTCGCTACAGAGCTGGACACGGGATGCTGGACCTCTCATACAATGATCACACCCGGGAGGGTCCAGCTGCTGAGGTCACACACTCCGCAAGGGGCATATGCTATGGGAGAAGGGATCCAGGTCCCTGCTGCCGTCCCCTTTCCCAGGTCTGCTCTAGCTGGGTGTCTGCTGCTCCACAGCAGCCCTTCAAGGGAGTGTCCTTGTGGCAGGGCTTGAGGGGATGGTGTAGGTGCCCTGCCGAGGCCTTTCACGGCTGTAGACTGTAGCAGCGGTCTTTAGAGAGGGGACCGTTGCCCACTCAAGGAGACCTGTGGACCTTTTGTGCTGGCACCTTTGCCTCTTTAAACACATTCCAGACACCTGCTGTGAGCTACTGGTCATGTGTGCATGGCTGTCCCTGAAGGACTCTTGAAACACCATTAGTGCCAATGGATTTAATCACCTTTTACATCTTTTTTTTTTTAAATAAAATTAAGTCAGAGGTACCTGGCAGCAAGACCTACAAATTCTGGCCCCCATCATGAACATGGGAAGGGACTCTGAAGGAATCCAGGTAGTGTGACACATGCTGGCTCTTAGGGAAAGTTAAGATGTAAGTTAGCATTAATGATGTGAAAAATTTCCAAACTCTGTTGCATTATAAAATTTTTAAAAACAGCACACCTTAAGCACTATGTGTCCTCTCCATCCCTGTGTCACATGTGGAGATGGCTTTCGGCAGCCAGGGTCCTGGTGGGGGTGGCACAAGGCTGCAGTGTCACTCTGGTGGTGATGACACCAAACATCTAGCCAGTCAACACTGCGAATTTGCGGAGTAGCTTTCACAAAACCACTTCATCTTCCTAAGCCCTGATTTCTCACCTGTAAAATGAGAATAATAGTAGTACTTCACAGGGCCTTGAGAGAATAAAGGGAAAGGGCTTGACGCACACCGATCCTTCTCAGCACTTCTGTTCCTTCTGCATCCTGTAGCCACTCACCTTGTCCTAGAGCGGAGTGAGTGATGGACTGCCCAGGGGCCTTAGAGCCAGAGTGACGAGGCCGACCCGCCCTGGACTCACAGGTCCCTTGTCCCACATCTGCTGCCTCTCCTGCACTTGGGACCTGCTTCTGCAGAACAAAGTCCGTTTAATCTACTTAAACTGACTGAACTGGAACTGATTGAAGGTGACTGTCCTGAGATCCTGTTGAGAAGAAGTGTCTATAGCAGCCTTAATGAAATACGTAGACACTTGTATTCCAGGCCTGCTGGGCTCTGCCTAGTCCTGAAATGTTGCCAAGTGTTTCCAGCTGAAATCTCAGCTCCCTGGATCAGAGACACCATGGTTCTCGGAGGGTTCTGTGTGAGAACATCTTGGCTGGTACAGATTCCTTCACAAGTCAACCCTCAGGGGTCATTTGCCCATTCCGACAGAGCTGTTCTAGAGGCTGTACTTGGCCCCCCTCCCCCTGCTAGAAAGATTGTTAGTGTTGTTCTCCTTTGTGTCAGGAGACATTTCTTGGCGGGAGTTATATGGAGATGGCATGTGGTGCTGCATATTTTATTTTCATGAAAGATCATTTGTTATCTTGTCAGTTTACTCCACATCTATTTATTGGGGTCCAAGCAACCACTTTGCTGGATCCTGAGAATTCACAGATGAATAAGGGATGATTTCTATTTTCATATGTCTTGCAGTGGAGGTAGGGAAAAATAACAAGTAGATCCTCAATGACCACATACGATGAAATTTCACACAGACATCTATACTAAGCGCTGCGGATCTGCAGAGGAAAAATTTCCTACTACAGTGGCGGGGAATTATCTCTCAAAGGAGGTCAAAAGAGTTCTTAAGATGAGTAGGAGTTTGCTAGTTGGAGAATACAGGAAGAGCTTTCACGTACTGGACACAGAGTTCAGAAGGGCAGTGGAGGCGGCATACATTCTGCAAGATGCGCTCTATGGAATCTTGGCTCCTGCTTGATCTTTGTTGCAAATTTTGTTATAAAACTTCTTGAAATTGAAAAGAAGGAGGGAAAGTTCTTAGAACTTGTCAAACTTCTGGTCGTTTTACTGACACTTTTTGTTTGATAATGGTCTAGAAGCATACCTTGTAAGATAGAAGTGATGACGTATTGATAGTGTGTGAGGTCTCGAACTCTTCAGGGTGCATGTGTTGCTTCGGACCCCTGTCTGGGTAGCCCGGGGGAGTGGAGAGGTAGCACGGCGAGGGTCTGTGAAGCTGTGCTTGCTGTAGCACATTTTTCTAGCTGGAAAAATCCAAAGCAAGATACTTCTGTTGAATCCAAGAATGTAAACTATAGATTAAGATGAAAGAAATGTGCACATATTTTAAATATATAAAATTTGAGTCTTTTATGAATGTGCTTTATGCACTGGGGTCCTGTCCAGTGATTTAGGGCCCCTTGGTGAGCCTCTAGGTAGGGAGTGGGAATGTGTGGTGAATCTCTAAGTTGGGGAGGCAGGAACAAGGCTATATGCAGTAGAAGATGCTGTGAGCGTTGAGTGTGGGGGAGTTAGAGAGGAGGGAAAATACAGGTAAAGAATAGGAAGGTCTTTCTTAGTGTATTTGCTTTTGCTGTAACAAAATACCTGAGACTGCACCATTTATAGGGAAGGTGGCTTATTTGGACTGGTGGATCTGGAGGCTGGGAAGTCCAACAGCGTGGTGCCAGCTGCTGGGGACCTGGTGCTGCCTTAGCTTTTCTCACCAAGGGCAAGTGGGTTCATGCGGAGGAGGCAGAGGGACGGGCAGCCTCAGCTGATTGGCAACCTGTCCTTGTGGCAGCTGATCCAGTCCCTGGGAAATTACCCGGTTCCCTGAGCAAGGAGTTCATCCCTTCCTGTGCACTCTACCCCTGTGACCCAGGCACCCCCCCAACTCCCAACACTGGGGCAGCAAGGAGTTTAAGTTTCAGTGCAAGAACTTTGGGGGAAACCCTCAAAGTGGGACAGGGTCAGGCCTAGGGTGGCCTAGGGAAGAGGAAACGGATGATTAGCTGTACTGTCCATGGCACACAGCCGTGTACGCAGCGTCATGGACATAGGTAGGTGGAGGGAAGGTGCCTCCCTGGTTATTTCCAAATGCATAGTCTGACTTGTGATGATTATTGATCTTCCTCATGGGCTTGTCACAGGGTGGGCATGAGATAATTCATAAGGAATCACTTGGAAATGACGTGCAGAGAAGTTCTAAACTGCGGATGATTCCAGTAATGTTTCTGCTCTGATCATGCTACTGATTTAGTTGATTGGACACGCACATCTAAAGGCCATTCTCAGGTTGATTTGCATAGGATAAGCGCTCGCGCTTAGGAAAACAGGTCTGGAAGGCACGGTGTTTAGAGCAAATAATATGAATCAATACACAATTATACACAAATACAAACACATAATTAATGCCTGAGTGATTGTTGGAATTTTATAGACTTTTGGA